AACTTAGCGCATCAAACAGCGCTCTGGCGCTGACCATAACGCACCGGTAGAGTGCCGGTGGTTCGATGCCTCCAAGTGAGGCTGTACCGGTACTTCATACCGGTGGGGCAGAGGCCGACCTCATGCTGCGAGGCCTGGCCATGCCCTGAACCGTCCAGATGGACGGTTCAGCCCCAACCGGCGGGCGGCAGCCTCAAGAGCGCCGCCAGGCCCAAACGATAATGCCRTTTGGGCCTGCCCGTCGKGTACTGGTCCAAGATCAGACCTTTAGGGCCTGTGATACCCCAAGGTCGGGCCTTTAGGCCCTGATGTGTCCCTCCGGCCCTAAGTCGGGTCCGGTAGGACCCGTGTGCGTCGAAGATGTAACACAGACAGAGATAGAGAGATGCAGAGAGTGGGAGAGAGGGAGAGAGATAGGGTGGGCGGATGGACGACCAACAGCCAGCCGCCTGGCTAACGACCGACAGACAAACAGACATACAGAGACTGATAGACCAACAAACAGAAAGAGACAAAGAAAGACAGAGAGAGACAGAGAGAGATAGACAGACAGAGAAAGGGGAAGTGAGAGGGAAATGCATATCTTTGAGAGTTGTCGAAAAAGGCAACAGGCAGTAGGAGAATGGAGAGATCCTGGAGGCATTGACAATTCTATTAAGAGCATTGACTGACCTCCGAAGATTGATTGCGAACAGATTGAATATATTGATCGATTTATTGAGCTTATTAGTTGAATAGGAACGACGAAGAAAAGGCTCATCACGAAGCGCAGTTCAGGGAAGGGGGAAAACTTCAAAAAAGGTAAAAAAAAAGTAAAAAGAAGAAGATTGAACGCCGCTCCTCTTTCACTCTGCAGGAGGTCATCCAGTGGCAGAAATGCAATATGGTATTCCTTACGGGCAAAGGACTTGGGGGTGATTGACCTCTCCGTAGAATGCCCAGGAGGAGAAGAGTGGATAGTCCTTTGCAGAGCCAACCGGTCTCAGCCATTTGGTACATATCTGGTCCTTCAAATGATGAAAACCTGTCAAGTTCCGCTGCTGCGTCGACACTTGAAATTTATGCCACCAGTTTTGCGCTGTGCCATTCTCCTGGCTGCCTGGGCCCCTAATAAGGTCCCTGTTTCCGCAATGGGCGTAAAAGACACAGCACGCCAAACTCAAAACCTGCAACACAAACAGCCCAAGAAAGGACATGACTTTCCACATCCACGTGGCGGTATCTCAATGCGAAGAGCTGCAGGCAAAACCAGCATTGCCAATGTCTTTTTGGTCATAGCCTTTTGTAAAGCCAAATGTTGACTTACAGCCCTAAGGGCACAAACAGAGGTCCTAAGTCAAAGTTTGACTTCAGACTCAGCCTGGATGCGAAAGTCGTCAAGCGTCCAGACTGTCCCACAGGGCCTGAAATAGTCAAAACTCAGGCCCTGGGAGAGTCAGCAGTCAGGCTCAGCCAGCTTCACCAGTCCCAGAGTCAAAAATACCAAAAGATTCCTCACACCTACCGCTGCAAATCACAAATCATCCAGAGGCTGAGAATCTGTTTTCAGAAGCATCCAGGGCCTGCCAGGTAAAGCCAGCCTCAGCACGCGACCGGAGTCACGTAGCCATCAGCCTGATAAAATTGCAGGCTGACTCGAGAGAGCAGGTCGTCATGCAGGAAGGACTATAGCTGCGCCATGGCTGCCTTGACCCACAGAAGTTCTGGCCCCCAAGTTCATTGACAAACCATGGCAGGGCTGAAGAGGGTATTGCAACATTCCAAAAGGTTTCTGAAAAGATGTGTGTGGTCTATTTAGTATTTTGTCATTTTCGCTATATACAACTACAAGATGTGTGTGCGTGCTGCGTGCAGGCAGCACAAATGGGTGTGTATTGAGTGCATTTTTGGAGTTGCCGTGCATCGTGTGCATTTTCGACCACAACAAACCCTTTTCCACCCAGATCAATACTTCCAAAATTGAAACAGCTTTACCTTGCAATCTTCCTTCAAGTTATACATGTTTATTGCATGTGTGTGTGCGTTTGGGGTATTAAAGACCGCAGCACTCATAGTGCAGCATGCTGTGTCAAGTTGAGTGGTATCACATGTGCATGGAAAGCATATCTGCAATTGGTGCATTGACGGTACATACAAGACAGCACCATAAAGAGACCACCCAGCCCAAGACAGGACCATGGAGAGACCAGCCAGTCAAAGACAGTCATAGAATGAATATACGGCCGGGGGGAACGAAAATCGAAAAGATCTTACAGAAAGGACAAAAATCATGACAGACTGTTTTGGCGGACTTGCACAGACTCATAAGGCTGAACCCTCGACAGTCGGCAGAATCCCCATATTGATGCTTCGAGTCATACACTACTTCGACAGTTTGACTTGCAAGCGGACAGCCATGCAGGTGACGACACAAGCAGCAAAGCAAGAGCCAGGCAACACGACACCAGACAGTAGCAGGGCAGCAGAATGAGCAGCAGACAACGAGGCAGCTAAGTAACAAAGCAACGAGGCAGCCAAACAAGAAGGCTAACAGCAGTGCCACCCAAAGAGCAGTGGGCAATAAGACACCAAGGCAAGAAGGCGGGGAGACAACAATTACTGCTGGAACATATTTACAGGTCTGATAATTCCGCAACGAAAATCGTATCTGTGTATGAAAACCCTGCATCCTTTCAAAAAGCTATTATAGGCCATACTCATAATGATTTCTTTGAAAGGCAGTGAGGCACGAGGCAGAGGGCAGTGAAGCAGTCGACAAGGCAACAAGGCCACAAGGCAGCGTCGACTAGGCAAGCAGCAGGCAACAGGGCACCAAGGCAACGAGGGCATTGAAGCAACAAGGCCCCAATGCAAGGGCATCAACACAACAAGGCACCGAGGTGACAGGGTGTCATGTCAACAGGCATCGAGCAAGGCAGTGATGCAGCAAGGCAGCAATGCAGCTCGTACAAATTGTACTATGTAAATTTTCTAATGAAACTGAATGGTGCAAGGAACATGAGCGAGAGCGATAGACAGAAATCCAAGTTGCAAATCAATCTGTAGATCGTATAGTCCTATACCAAGCAGGAAGCACCATGCACCGAGATACAAGCCAAATAAGAGCAATACAATGAACTAAAATGTCAATGTCGACACTCTCTCGCCACACCAACATAGTATCCAATATCGCTCTTCTCTGTTGGCGCTCAGCGCCCAGCCTATCCCACTCCGCAACTACTCTAGCCTCCACCACGTTCATGCAACAAGGAGTCACTTCGAGCTGAAGACTCATGCACGTGACGACGTCGCCAATGCAGACTGCCAGGATACGCCAGGCGCGTGTCTCTCTCTCCTCTCACATCACCCCTTGACTTCGCATTGACTTACCGTGAGGGCACAGGTGCGCAGCCCATAGTTTGTTCGGTAGAGAGAGAGAGAGAGAGAGAGAGAGAGAGAGAGAGAGAGAGAGAGAGAGAGAGAGAGAGAGAG